GTGGTTTTTCATAAGAGTTCTGTTGGGCTGAATGAAGGGGGCCAACGCTTTTCAGCTACCCCCCTGACAAGTCCCACGGAGCTGTCACCGGGAGGGGACACCTTCCCGTGGATGGAGAACATCCCGGAGCGCCTGGCACAGCGGCTGAGATGGACACAGGGCACATCGCCCAAAGTTCCATCCAGTGGGCCCATCATTGTCCTGCTCTATGCAGGCAAGGAAGACCCAACTTCCTTAGACAGCTGTCTTCATGCCAACTACCCGCACCTCTCCAGCATGGTGGTGGCAGTAGACATCCTACGATCGGGACCAAAAGGGAACCACGACATGCTCCAACCCGAGCTGTATGGAGCGCTCTGCACGGCAGCAAAGCAGGGCCGAGTGGTCTTCATTGGGGGAGGACCCAACTGCAGGACATGGTCCATCCTGCGCCACATACCAAAACCGGGGGCCCCCACCCCGGTGCGAGGACGCACTCGAGAGACACTTTGGGGCCTCCCACACCTGGACCAGGCCGCCCAGACTCAGCTTGATGAGGACAGTACCCTCATTTTGAGGCAGATGTACATCACCAGCCTGGCAAGGGCCTCAAGATCGGCGGCCTCGCTGCCAGGGCCAAAATCCTTCTTGGAGCACCCGGAGGACCCAGTGGTGAGCAGCTCGCTGCCCAAAGCCAAGGAATGCTCATCCTTCTGGATCACGGAGGAGGGGCAGCTTTGGATGGAGGAAAACTCCTTGACAGCAATCTCCTTCGACCAGTGCCGCCTGGGCCAGCTGGTCAAGAAGGCCACCACACTTGCCACGGATCTCCCAATCCAGGACTGGGATCAAATGAGGTGCACACATCAGTCACATGTGGGCACCAGCGAGTCCTCGACTCTCAGCAGATACCCCTGGGATATGATGGCAGGCCTGGCCAAAGCCATCGCTGTGTCACTCGCAGCGCCGGGGCACATCCGGATCCCCTCACAATTCCCGGGAAACCCTAAGGAACCACCTAAGGGAAGGGGGTCGGCCCCCCCTGGGGGCCCTTCTCCCCGGGGGAAACGGGGACCCAATCAGGGAGGCGATCCCTCCTCGTCACACCAGGGCCCAGAGCCCGGAGGCAAGAATGCCCCGAAGCCCCGCCAGCACGGGCACATCCACCATGAGGCTGACACCGTAAGCCCTCGTGGAACTATGAGTCCAGACTTCCCATCTCCCATGCCCCCGATGGCCGGAGATGCGGAACAACTGGAAAAGGAAGAACATGGGGACCAGGTCCTGGACCGCCCCGAATGCCTGCCCGCTTTCCGGGTCCCACGCCTCACTGACCGAGTTGCGATTGTCCAATTGGGTTTCCGTTCACGCCCCCTGAGAGATGGGGGGGGGAAACCTTCCCCGGGGAGGCTCAACCCCCCTTTTCGGAGAGTTTCCCCTTTGGCTACTTTGGGCGCCCTGATCATGACCCTTACCAGGCCCTGGATTGATAAGGTCCGGATGTCCCTGGCATCAGGTGCCACCACACACCCCTTCCAGGAAACCGACCTCGAGGAGCTGCGGGCTATCCTAGGACCGAGGCACCTCCATGAACGATGCCCAGGACAACCCTTCCTCCTGGACTTAGTGTCGCACTTGGCATCCCTTTCAGGTGACCCTGATTGGGAGTTCCCCCTGACACTGAAAGAGGGGGTCCCCTTGGGAGTCTCGGACCCTACCTTGACCTCCCCGGGAGTTTGGCCCACTAAGGAGGAGCTCAAGGGAGAGGCATGGCTGGGGGAAGATCCCCCCCCGCCAGTGGCTCATGATAACTACCCAACGGCTGAACTCTTTGCCAAGGAAATCGAATCAACCTTTTACGAGGAACGAGCCTTGGACATGGTGGACGGGCCCTTCACTCGCTCCGAGGCGGCAGAGAGGTGCCGCTGCAAACCGGAGGAACTTTGCCCGGGCCCCCTTGCAGGGATTGATGAGTCGGACAAGATCAGGACGATCTATGATGGCTCAAAAGGGGGAGCAAACGCACACATCCAGGCTCACACGGAGGAGAAGACCACCGCACCGATGGTTGGAGACTGCCTCCATGCCATCCACTGGCTCAGGACAGCGGCGGACCATCCTCATCTACTCCGAGCCCCATCCTCGGGCACTGATGAGGAACCTCGGGATGTTCACCAGCCGGTGCAGGGGCAGTCCCCAGGTGCCGAGGGCCCTGAGAGGGACCCCCACAGCACCAGCCTGCCCCCAGGTGCCGAGGGCCCTGATAGGGGCAGGCGGATGATGGAGACCTCCGGCGGCCTGGACGTCTCTCCGCGGTCAACACCCTCAGGGAAGGGGCCACTCCCAGGTGCCGAGGGCCCTGATAGGAGGGCCCCATTCCCCCCAACCCCCCCAGGCACGGAACGCCCTGGGGGGAGCAGGGGGGAACCCCTGACGTGGCAGCCGCCGACACAGGGGGAAACCTTCATCATCCTCAAGGCGGATGTCACCAAGGCCCACAGGCGCATAAAAGTGCTCCAGAAAGACTGGAAATACCAGGTGGCCTGCATCCAGAACCGGTGGTGGGTCAATAGAGTGGGCACGTACGGCATGGCCTCGGCACAACTGTACTGGGGAAGAAAGGCATCCTTGGTGCTCAGACTCTTGTACTACATCTTCCCTCAGGTGGACTGGCACTTAGTTTTTGTGGACGACTACTGCTGGGTCCTCAGATGCAGCAGGGCGGACTGGGACGCCACAGCCATCCTGGCCACTCTTCTGGCGCTGGGAGTCCCGCTTTCTTGGAAGAAGACGGCGCTCTCCCCGGTCAATACCTGGTTGGGATTCGTGGTGGACCCAATCACGCCCTGTGTGCTGCTGGCTCCAGTCAAGCACGTCATAATCCTGGCCACTCTCAAACGGCTGGCCCAGGGGGACATCTTTACCAGCAAGGAGGTGGAACAAGCCCTGGGCCGGATTCAATGGGCTACTTCGGCGTGTCCATTGACGAAACCTTTCCTCCAGCCCTTTTGGAGCTGGAAGAAGGCCTGCACCACTTCGGGCAGGCCACCGAAGCTGGTTCGTGCTCTGGCCATCCTTCTGGGGAAGCTCTTCAACCAGAGGTTCCCACTGGCATCTCCATTTGCTCCCACACTTCCATGGACGGGGGCATCTGATGCGGGAGCTGGCAAACAGGCGGACCATGCATGGGTTGGTGGTTGGTGCTCGGACGTGCCCAACCCCGACAAGTCCCGAGTGAAGTGGTTCCAACACAGAATCACACCGGAGGGCGAGCCGTGGGCCTTCACTACTGGGGACCCGCAGCGGGCGATAGCGGCCTTGGAGCTCTTCGGCCTCCTCCTTTTGGTGAGGGCTGCTCTGCTTTGTGCAGCCGGCTCGGCTTCTCACACTAGGATTCTGGTTGCTAGTGATAACCAGGGAAACGTTTTCTCCCTGCTTAACGATTCCACTCGCAGGATGCCCAATGCGGCCATCCTCATGGAACTTGTGTTAACACTGCATGACCACCAGGTCATGTTAGGACCGTCGCATGTGAAGCGCGACTTTAACACATGGGCGGATGAACTTACTCATCCGGACCCGCAATTTCCGACTGAGAACCGGGTCTTCCCCTCAGTCGAAAGCGAATTGATCAAGCTGATCTTCGCTACTTTCCTTCCTCACCCATGATGCCGGGAGGGCATCCGGTGAGGTGGGAGGATTCCTCCCTCGCTGTGGGAGTGGCATCAATCCTACTCCCATCAGCTGCTGAGGGGAGCTGCCCAGTGGAACTGGGCAATCCTCCCATTTTGGCACTAACCCTTATGCGGCAACAAAGGAGGCACCGTTTTGCGAATAAGGCCTCAGTAGCACCTGAGTGGTGCTTCAAAGAGTCTGTTGAACAGATTCAAGTTGAAGCAAAGTCGGGATGCCATGTTCAATGGGTTGATCATCAACCAATGGCTGAGTCGACCGATGTCCTTGTATCCACCACCTCATTCGCTTTCATGGATTCTGTGTCTAACCCAGAAATGACGCAAGCAGCAAAAGGATGACTTGAATGTACTTGCTGTTGTAATGTAGCGTATGTAGCGTTGTTTAAAGAAAGAGCAGCGTCAAAGTGTGATAAGCACTTGCTGGTACGCAAACGATACAATTACAGCGAGCAACTGAGCACAGGCAGCTGCGAAACACATGGCACAGGACTTGTGTGTGTGTGTGTGTCGACAATGTAGCCAACCAAAAACGCAGGACGGCAACAGGCAGCAGCAGGCTGCCAGAGGCAGGCAGCAGCAAGAACGCCAGCAAAAACAACCGGCCCTACCCCTGACACAAAACACACAGCAGAAGTATTCAACATAAAGGCGACACAAAAACAACATAAAGACAGACAAGCAAACAAAAGCAACACCAAAGGCCAACTCCAAAAACACACCAATCATAGAAACAATCAATTAGCAAATTTGTTGAGGAAGCAAGCAAGCAAGCAAGCAAGCAAGCTAGCTACCTAGCTAGCAACAAGCCGGCAAACAAGCAAACATGTGCAAAAACAGAATCAGAAAAGACAAACAAAGACCCACTCGACAGAACAACCGTAAGATCAAATGTGGGAGCTAGTCAGCCAAACAACCAGCCAGTCCCTGGCATCCCGCAGGGCTGACACAAAGCTTGGCTTCTGGAGCCCTATGCTTCGATTCGAAAAACCCTCGCATGCTGTTGAAAGGAAGACTTGTTTCTCATTGAACCGCAAGAGAAGCGCCCACCGCCAAAGCGGTTTCCCTCAAGCCAGTATAAACTGAGAAAGGCCCCCGTTTGGGACAAGTAGAGCTTTTCGTGTCCAGGAAGAAAGAGACAAGGCAGAGCTTGCCAGTCACTTTCTGGCGCTTCGCGATCCCAACTATTGTCACACAGGCAAGGGTTATGTGTCAAATGGGGGAAGGGAATGGTTTGCTTTGGAGCCTTTTGTGATTTGTGTGATGCTTTTGAAAGGCACCGCAGTCCCAACCTGGCCCCATGGGATGTGCGAGAATTCCTGAGCCAAGGTATTTGCCCTTACCCTTATCGACCAGCTATCCCTTGATGCCCAACGGGACAGACCCACAGGAGTCGCGGCAACGGGAACGTGAGACAGAAGGTTTGAGAAAACATCCACAAACAGAGGATATGTTTGATGGTCCTGCCTTTTGCGCCAAGCAGCCATGTAGCTTTGATGTGTTTTGTGTTTGTTCCATCGCCCCAGGATAGTGACCATTGAAGACAGCTAGAAAACAAGAATGAGCGAGCCTCGTTCTGGATCATGCACTCACATACAGTCAAGGGATGAACAAGGGAAGACCATCAAGCCGCCATGTTGTCAACAATTGGGATGGGCTTGGATCGTCGTGAATCACCCTTTCAGAATTTCAGCATGAACTGTGACCACCACACACGCACCCACGCACACACACACACACCTACAATCTTGCAAGTTCCCCTCCACTGACCGCCGAGAAACCACGAAGCCTAGAACAGAGGCTTTATTTGAACATAACCTGAGTCACTTGAGAAACACTGCTCCCCAGACCATGTTTTTTCGGAAGGCATGTGATTTCTTCGAATGTAGAGCATGCGCCGGTCACAGGTTCTGCAACTCCTTGCTTGTTGAAACTGGGGGGGGATCCCCTCAAATCCATAGGTTTAGCGTTCCAAACAGACCATCTCAAAGCAAAAGACACTCATTTGGCAGGAAGAGCAGCGACTTGTCCAGCTTGGCAAGTGCCTGGGCCAATCTTTAGAGAATCTCATGGAACATCCAACCTGGGTGCTGAATGACCCATAGTGTTGGATTGTGGCACAAGGAAACCGGCAACTGTTTAATTATTGAAAGGTTGGTGGCACTTCAAAAATTAGTAACACACTGGCTGGGCGTTTGAATGCCGCCCCATCGCGATGCCAATGCAGTTTCACCTAGCATGTTGTGATCCGTCTTTATTTCTGTGCATCCAACGCCACGAGTTGTCAACCTGCACCCTTTATTTTCAGTTGCTCGCCTCTTTAAGGCCAAGAGTTTCCACCTGCCCCATCTCTTGCGAAGCTACTTCTTCGAAGGGGGCCTTCCAACAGGAAGCGACTGGTGATCGTTGGATTAGCTCATGTCCAAGCAAGGCAGAAGTTTAGGAATTATAAACATTGTTGGCTTCTTGACTTGGGAGAGCTACATCCAAGAATAGTGAGCCCTGCACTAGAATTCCTCCGGACCGGTTGTGCTCCTTTGGGATGCCTCCAGACCCCTAAGCCCGCAGGCAGCCCATCGATTTGTCGATCCCTAGCCCTGTCATGATTTGCATGGGCTTTTGATAGCGGGTTTCGTTGTGTACGTTTTAGAGGTTTGGGCTGGTGTACAGCATTTTGGTGCTGAGGTTGTTCACCTTCCCCCGGACCCCAGCGGAGCTGAGTGCGGGCGTGGGAAGAGAATGGCCTGATGCGCGAGGGGCCTTTGTGATGGACAGCGCCCGGCCAGAAATCGGACAGCGGATGACTGGCTTTCGCTGGCTACAGCTGGCTATTTGTTTGGACGCTATGGGTTTCCAAGATGCAGGAAATCCTATGCACAAAAGCAATGCATGGTTGTTGAATTGTTGTTGGTCACACAATGATGGTTTCCCATGCAGGATATTAGGGTCAATAGCGAGCAATGTCACTGCCCATCTGACAAATAGTATGCTGTCAACAAGTAGAATGAACGGGACAAATGGAGGTTCTTGGCCGGCTTCTGCTTGACATCATTTGCCGGCGTGCCGGCAGCCGGCAATGCGTTGCAGTTCTGCATGGGACGATGGCCATATGGTTGTGTGTGTGGGGGGTTTTGGGGACCCGACAAGTTGTGTCATTCCTTTTCGTTTCCCGTTAAAACCACAAGAAGGGGGAACCCTCAAAAGAAGGCACCCAAATCGTCAAACGTGAAGGATGCCAGCCATTTGGAGGGCTTCCTACAGTTGTGTCTACCCACACTTATATGCGAGGGGACGAGAGCTAGGGCAGCTCTGCAAGAGTACAGTTGCAAGGCCTTATTATGAGACGGATGTGAAAGGTCAAACTCACTCTAGACCCTTGCGGCTGAGTAAAACCCTGCTGATTTAAGTTTAGCCCGCGGAGCTCCCTTGTGTCCAAACTGCCCCCGTTTTACTGCAAAACAAGAATGGGTTGTTTCAAAAAATCAAAAACACGATAACGATTGTATGAAGCAGCGTTGTAGCAGGGAAACACAGAGAATTGTTTGGTAGGAAACAGGCCTGACTGGTTAGCGAAGCAAAATGATAACAAAGCGACGACAAATACTGATAACGGCCTGGCTGCCTTTCTTCGCATCCACACGTTTCCTGAGTGTTTACGCCCATCATATCGTGGCATATTTGTGACATTGGTATTGAGTGGTTGTCCAAACGCGACGATTTTGTTATGCAAGCTTGTATCTTTTGAGACACTCTGCTTGAACTTGATTCGGAGCTGGTCTACAAACAACGAGGTTGTTTTACAACCTTACTTGGTTGGAAGGCCATCTTGGAATGGTTGTTCTGGGGGAAAACGATGTAGTTCAAGGAGTGTGTTCGGAACACTATATGTTGGAATGGGAATTGGGATTGGTTGGGGCCTTCCGCCAGCTATTCAGATTGTTTCCTACAGATGGGTGTTTAGACTTGCACCAGAGTGCGCGCTAAGCCATCCATTTTGTGTTAAAAGGTATGGCCATCAAGATCAAATATCTCTGAAATGTAAGCAGAGCTGCGTCCCAGTCTCGGAGTGCGATAATTTCCACAAACACTGGGTACCAGCGGCAACGTCTCAATGGAAGAGTCTTGTGAAGGGCTTACATTTCCTGATATGCTTGGCAATATTGCCTGCAATGTATTTGTCAGGTCCCCAGGACCATTGAGCTTCGGGCCAAAACCTCCAAGGCGAAGATGCCGCCGGCGAGACGGTGCTGTGGATCAACCAAGCCGACCACCTCCGGCTCAGGCACAGCAGTGAAGCCAGGTGTTTGGCCTTGTCCCTTTGCTTGGGCGGCTTTCAGTTTATCAGGCAACGACAATTTGAGCAATTCTCCTGGTTTGGCAACATACCATCGGGCGCCATCGTAGCCTTAGGTGCACCCCGGCTAGACTGCCATCAAACAGCCGTCGACCTTTGGGGCCACTGGAGAGCTATATTTGCAATTTCGAGGGCGCGATTTCAAACGCAGCTTTGTTTGGCTAGGCGAATCGGCATGTTTAATGGTTGAAATGGACATCTGAGTGAAAGGTGCCCTCACAAGCAGCTGAGATTTTGTCTAGCGACGCTTTTGTTTGCACGGCCGATGTGTTTCTTCAACCAACTTGGTGCTGGAGCGTTGTGGGTTTGAGTGGATGTTCTCGAGCGAGAAGTGCTGGCTACATTCTGAAAGTGACCACGTGTTTCCTAATGTACGGCCAGTCCGATGTCACCCAAGCCAGTCTTATCCGGACCTCAATCCAAACGCTCA